GAGTTCTGAGCAGGTACTAACATGTGGTTGTCAGTCTGCATGTCACCGATTGGCTGGTCAGTGGCATCACTCGATGAGTCATGACAGCATCTCCTCTTTTAAACTCATCAACGAGGAAACAGCTGCATAAAACAAGGCACAGTAGGTATATTCCCGCCTCCAAGGCCACCTTTGTTGTAGTTAGATGCGTTGGAATGACAACGACCGCTCAAATTTGTGTCAGGATACAGACAGCATTTCTGAGACATGACAAAATTATTTATGACAACATCTACTGTTAAAATGATTATTTAGCCTGTGTGCACAAAAATGGTCGATATGACATTTTTTAATCACAGTTACCGGTAAAGTGGAGGTGGCTGATATTTACACCAGGAAACTGGGTGTAGTGCAGGGGTCACCTCTCAGGGGTGGCAATTCAGCTATTTGACTCATGTTACAGCAGCTCAAGAGTGAATGAACATGGTGCAATAAAAGTGGTTTTAGGAGTATTTTTTTTTTAAACTAATGACCTACAAATTCTATTCAGGTGTATTGCAGCAAGGACACCTGTAAAAGTTTCATGACACTGGCCCTCGAGAACTGGAGTTCAACACCTGTGGTGTAGTGGGAAGAACAAAAGGAAGAGTGAAGCTGCAGAGTGTGAGGAGCAGTGTCAGAGTGAAACAATTTAAATCGCCACCTTCAGGCTTTTTATTCCAGTTTGTGCAGCTCATGCTGGGGCTTCAGTTATGCTGCTGTAGTTTTGGATCATTTGCAGATGATTTTTCAAAGACTTGCAGACTGTTAACATTTAACTTAAAGTTTCTCATTTAGTAGCATGTGTGTGTAAGATGGGTTTTCAGTGTAAAGCATTAACTTTTAACATCCCAGCACGACTCAGCCTGCTGTTGTGGGGTTGGTGAAATCATTGGCGCTGGGTATAGAGAGTACGCACCGAAAAAGTAGACCTACATCTCTTATCATTGTAAAAGCTGTGTTAAATTAATTCAAAGCCATTCATAAATATAAAATGTGCTAAACTAATGTTTAATTTCACTTTAAAATAAATGATTAAACAGTTCACAGCCACAGTGGAAATCAAAAGTGAGGCAAACCTTTTTAACTGTGGGAAAACCCATGTTTATTCCACAGCACAGCCTGGTGGAAAAGCTGTGCAGGACACACCTGCAGACATGAAAAGCTGTCACTGTGGGTCAATGACACTGTGCTCCAATTTATGTCCCTAAAATAACGTTGTGGTCATTTTAGCACCTCAACTACAATAAAGAGGAATTCAAGAACAAATGTGTTGTGTTATTTCCACAGTTCTGCACTCAGCATAGACATTGTGGTTTAGCAGAATTAAACCACAGCTATGGCAGAGCAACGTGGTAAAAGGCGGTTATACTGACTGAATGATGACACCATCACAGGAAGCTGCACGTCAGTAGCAGTAAAGCAGAGATGCGAGGTACACAGTGTGCTAATGTTTCATAGACACACACAGCATTTATTATTTCTGTAACAGCAGTCACCTTGAGGTGCTTTGTATTACAAAGACCCTACACTGATACAGAAACACTGAGACGACCCCCTGTGAATGAGCAGTCAGCTCTAAATTCGCTGCTCTAAATTTTAAGTGAAGATGCAAAGAAATCGTGCTGTAGAAATGGATTCTGAAGTGTCTCCTGAGCAGTCTCTATATTGTTGCCCCACAGTTCGTCATACATGTCTTCTTCCACTGTGGATGAACATTTTTGTAAATTAGAACCTTCTGTTATGTAATTCAAAGCTTTGTCTGCATGTGAAAGCGTTCAACCCAAGCACATATTTGCAAAAAGAAGGCTCATATATCGTGTTTCAGAGTGCAGTGTATGAAACAGTTGATCTCTTTTATGACTCCACTGGTGAACAGGTGACTTTGGGATGTCTGTGCACCATCCTGTTCACACTATACTGAAGATCTAGTTTCACATGTTTAATTCAAATCTGGGTGCCTTCTGCTCTTCGTGTGAGACACGAGGAACACAACATCGCAAAGTAATGTGGAAATACAGCTTAGCTTCTTATTGAAAGGAAGAAGATGGTGTGGGAGCTCTCTCTTCTCCTGCTCACGCTGAAGTTCATGTGTAACATCTGCACACTGACCCATCATCAAGTGACAAAAACATCTGCATCAAACTGTCTTATATGGAAGGAAAATCCTGTAGATGAATATATATTTGTTTTACTGAGGCAAAAAGCGAAATATAATGAGTGAGGTGTTTTAACATGATCCACATTACAGCTGGCCCCAGGATTTCAGTTACACCATTTAAATCAATCAAGTGAGCAATGCGTCATATTTAATCACGTCCAGAGTCGAGGTCTGGCAGCTGCGATTGGTTGTTCTAGCTCTGACAGTCTCTGAATAACTGAGACTGCTAATATAAAGTATTGAAATAGAATAACTGTCATCTTGTGTGATGCCACACAGACTGCATCTTCTGTCCTCCTCCTAAATTTAAAAAAACTCAGTTCGGCAGCTCTGCAGTGATGAGAAACTGAAGTGTGTCCACTTCCTGATTCTCCAGGAATTCTCTTTTCTACAGATTTATAATACAGTCTTCCAAGTTAGAAGCTTAGATATGAACTGAACTGTCAGTCAGTATGTTCAGTTTTATACCTGTGCTGATTTCTGTCAGGCGTTTTCTAACACACACCTGGATAAACGATTCAGCGGAGGCAACTGAACTGTCCATGAGCATGAACTCAGTTACAGCCTGCTGGCTCATTCTCAGAATCTCCTCTCTTGCATCAATTCAATTAATTTCATTTCAGTTGGTGTACAAGTGGAGACGCGTGGGTTTACCGCCCAGTTATTGCCACATGGCTTCAGGAACATCACTGATATAGAATGTGTCCGTTGAGTCTTTAGTTCCTTGGAAGAAATCCACCATGACATACGAAACCAACTGTGGCTGTGATGTTTATGTACCGCCTCCACCCCCTCAGGCACATGAAGGCCTAAAGGTGGGCTGTGGGATTTTGTGAAAAATGGTGTAAGAATACTCATTGGCCACCTAATGAGAAAAAAGTATTTGAACTCTCAAAGAACCAGAGACAGGAAATATATCTGTGGGCTCATGTGTAAGCTCATGTGTAAGCTCATGTGTAAGCTCATGTGTAAGCTCAAAACATGTTGGAGCCAAGTTTTATCATAAGGGAGTGGCAGAAAAAACCTGTGGGACGGGTGTTTGTTTGACAGTGTATGCTTTCACCAGCTTCCACAGCTTTCATTTTCCAGGTAGCATCATGACCTTCAGAGGACAAAGTAGTTGAAGTACTAAGTCAATTTTTTACTCTTTAAGTGAAAAAATACAGTAGTAATAGATACTAGTAGCAGTAGAAGATTAGAGTGTTTTCTACCAGCTATTATATATTAAAAAAAATCATGAGTGCATTAGATTAATGCACTCAGCTTTAACATCTGTTATGCTGAGCACAAGCAGAGGCAATCAAAAAGAATAACAGAGATCTAGTTGTGGCTGCATTATACCGATATCTGCCTCCCACTGCTAAGAATGAGTTTGTCCTGTTTTTGCATATTTACATTTTCCAGATCATCAAATTTGAATATTGGACAAAGATAGTGATGAAAGTTATGTAAACCTACCTGCCCTGTGTGCAAAAGTAACGGCCCCTAAACCTGATAACTGGCTGTTCCACCACCAAGTATTTGTGATGCCTTCAGTGAGTCTTTCATGTCACTGTGGAGGAACTTTAGCCCACTCTTCTTTGCAGAAATGCTTTAATTCAGACACATTAGAGAATTTTCCAGCATGAACGCCTGTTTAAGGTCACAATGAAGCAGCTCAGTCTGATTTAAGTCCAGACTTTGACTCCAAAACATTCATTTAGTCTTTCAGAGTCTTTCAGCGAATCAGAGGTGGACTTGTTGCTGTGTTTTTGATTAACTGTCCTGCTGTATAAGCTCTATCAAAAAGAAAAGTTCAGAGTTTTAAAGGTTTTGAAGGTTCCGTCTATCATTGTACTTTTAAAGCCACACGTCCATTCACAAGCTGATTACAATGACAGCTGTCACTTGTGTCATTCCTTATATGTCGTGCGTCTGTAACTCAGTTTGCATTAGCTCTGTCTTTCAGCCTTTAGGATGATGATGAACTTCAGTCACAGGAAACCTGAATAAAGGAGATCCAGAGGAGATGGACGGGATCAGCAGGGGGAAGAAAAAATGAATGATGTAACAAACATATCAGATTTTCTGAGCTCCGTGCTCCTTTCCTTCACCTCATGACACAGAAAGTGGTCAGGAAAAGACAGAGCAGTCAGGTCAAACACTGCGCCCTGCTGGCGAAACCCTGCAGAGGGCAGATCACTCCGGCTGAGTTCAGCTGTAATCGGAAAAACCTCTCACACTGTGCTGATGAGTCAGGGAACAAAAAGAGGATTTTCTTACAAATGCTTGTGTTTATTGGAAAAGCTCATGTCCACAGGCACAGCGGCACAGCATCATTGGGAGGAAAGCCTCAATCTACTGGCTAAATCAGGTTTTAGTAGAACAGTCGGGGCTGTGTTCATGCAAATATGTTTTCCATGCAGTTTGCATAAGTTTCAAATCTCTTCTACATTCTCTGTGGTTAAATACTAAATAATATTGCACACACAATATTATAAAAGAGTACAGTCACGTGTGCTCGCTGAATTCGTTGTGCTTATTCGTGGGTCATTTCAAAATAAAATCAAGCAGCAGCTCCCATCTGACCCCTCACAATAAGCTGATTCTTTCAGATTATTTACTGATGCCACACATATCTTTACCTTCATACTGGGAATATTTTACACTCATGATTACTTTCATAAGTGCACATGAACCCGTCAGGGCTGAAAACACATTTAAGCTGCATCTCGATATATGCTCAGTCATCCAGGTAAAGAAATACCAGTAAAGTTGATTCTGTTCATCTGGATGCTTTCAGTGGGAGAAACGTTTTGTCCTCATCCTTCTACGTCTTCAGTCTCAGCTGACTGCAGGTCTCCAACCTTATAAACAGTACCTCTGCACAATGACTCAAACCAGCCCACTGAATGAACACTGAGCTGTTTCTTCCAGATGGACAGAATCAACCTTTTGGGACATTTAAACTGTGTTTCAGACTGCAGCAGTTCGACTTCGTGAAGATGTTTCAGCTCTTATCCAGAAGACACCAGGTGTTTAACACCACTCAGTTTAACTCTGCAGACCTCTGAACTCTGTTCCTCATCTCTGAGCAGCTGTGAGCAACAGTGTGACGATCTGTCACAGTTTAAGTGCATCCTGGGTAAATTTCAGGCTCATATCAGCAGGTGGGACAGGGGAGAGCAGGTGAAGGCTCGCTTGTACGGTAGGGTCATGTTGCAGCTGACTGTGAGGGGTTCGGATCGATCTCACGCAGCACGACCCCGCTCTAAAAAGCCTACGCACTGGATTATTTGTAGAATTATTGCTCCGGTCAGCGTAACGTGAGTCCGGCCACGGCGCTGCCTCCGACATTGCATAAATAATGAGGTGAGTGTAAACAAACAGTGCAGGTCCAAATACCAGAACGTCTGTTTTCAAGCAGCTTAAAGGCTGAAACGTCCATGTCTGAACAAATATTCAAGTATTATTGTGTCACCGCTAACAAAAAGGCCTGTGTGCTTCTCATGCTGTGGTTCACGTTCTCCTCAGGTCACGCTTGTTACAGTCACGAGGACCGCTTCAGAAGCTTCTGGTTCAGCGCCACGACGGTGGGCACGAAGCGGCTCTCCGAGACGAAGTCGCCGGCGATGATGTTCAGCGAGCCGTCCTCCTCGCCGGGCGTCTGCTCTTTGACCCAGCCGAGCAGCGTCGGGTACGTGGACATCACCAGGTCCTTCAGGGACTCAGTTGGGTGGGTGCAGATGTACTTCAGGTCCTCCGTCAGATTAATCCCCGTCACAAAGAAACCTCCTGAAACACACACACACACACACACGGTGAGATCCAGATGGTGAATGTGTTTAATCCTCACCTGTCTGACATCATGACTCGTCAGCAGGTCACCTGGTCTCCTGTTTTGTTGCTTCATGCGTTCAAACTCATCAATCAGAGCCTCGGCTTTGCATTTGTTGGCCCACCAGTATGGGATGTCCGGCCACAGCTCAGTGTGCCGGCGCTCCGTGCTGTGCTCGTAGGACGCGATCACCTGGTAGCCCGAAGCCCAGAGCTTACGAAGAGTGACCTCAGCCTGAAAGCAACACATCAGAGCCGTGAATACCTTAATAATCCAGGTAATGCAATCACCACGGCTCCCATAATCCTCCCTAAAAGTTTAAATAAACCCCACCAGGCTCTTTAATATGAGTTAAAGGTCAAAGAAGTACACTTAATGGAAGTCCACTTTTTTGATATATGAAGTTTGTGTACGGTCGGTTTTAATGTTTGCACATTTTGTGGGCGGAGCTAAACTGGAGGAAGCATAAATGGATGGATGAATCCTCTCTGTGGTCACGTCCAGGTGTTTGACACTGGCTGACTGATGCGTGTGCGACTGCCGTGAAATGGGTTCATCCAGTGTGAGCTATTTAACAGGAGCGCCCTGTCAGCATGGAGGGCAGCACCTCTGCTGTAAATCTGTAAAACAGGATACTTTGGGATTCTGTGCCGGCTTCACCCTTACAGTTAGAAACCTATGAGATGTTTCAGGAAACAGGAAGTGCATCCGTACCTTTTTGGGACAGAGTTTGGAGGCAAACACAGTACGTATGGTGGTGAGCAGCACCGCGTGGAGCTCCTGGCTCAGGCCGAGGAAGTGGCTGAAGGAGAGGACGACCACCTCTTTGGGATGGGCGTCCAGCCACTCTCGGATCTCCGTCAGCACTGTCTGTCAGAGACACAGGCGAGCTCAAACCTCACACACCAAAATGAACTTCATCCCGCCCACGTGCACAGCTGATTTGACGTGTTATTGCTGCCATTTTGTTATTAATGATGTAGTCCTGCTGTTTTCTGTTCCTGCTTCAAAACACACGTGTGGGATTGCTCATGTCAAACATAGTCAAAGTTTCTAAAAATGAGCTCAGTGTGTGTGCAGTAATCCCTGAACACTCAGATTAACATAGGGATACTCTTACTCTGTGTGTGTGCTCACTTCCAAAGACAGTCTGTCTCTTATGGAAGTTATCACAGAATATCACAGAATATCAACCAAAGACGCAGAACAAACCTGAAAGTTATAAACTGCTTTTCATGTCATTGAGTGAACACGTATTAAAGGAAAACGCGACTCAGCACTTTCTGTCAAGCTTGTGATTCACATGTTCACTGCAAACTTCATGCTACTTGCGGTGTCATCTGTGACTGTCGTTAACAAGCTCCTCCCACCACCTTTCTCAGGATCATCCTCACTTTAGATTTCTGAATAATCGCACTGACAGCTTCACCTTCTCTCCTGTCGCTCCGTCACCCTGGTGCAGGTCTGCAGTCCTGCCCCTGACATCCGGTGACAGCTCTTTGGTCTTGCAGTCTGTGGACAGCGGTGCTTTATTCGCACACCGAGCTGAGATCAGGAGTATCTGACTGGGTGATTGTGCTACGTGGGCCACACAGCCATTCTGTGGGCGTCTGTAGGGGATCAAATACTTATTTCAAACTGAGTTTCTGGATTTTTGGTTGATATTCTGTTGCTCTCTATTGAAACATAACTTTCTCTGTAAGCCGTGAAGAAGAAAGCAAAAAGCCAGACTGGATAACCATGAAGCCCACAGAATTCCAAATCTAAACCTGTCATGGATTTAGCATCTGTTTGCATATGTGTGACCGGGCTGTGAGTCACCTCCACAGTGAGCGTGGTGTAGACGCCATGGTAGAAGTACAGGTGTGTGGAGCTGTCGTTGGGCCTGTGTGCAATCCTCAGGTCGCAGTACCTCACCCCACAGTCCAGCTGATGCTTTATACAACACTCCTGAAACATGGAGGACACACAACTCATCACAGCAGGTCCGGCTTTATACACAAGAAGGACTAACACAGGTACAGTTACAGCCTGTCATCACATTGTGCTCTTCCTCCCCACTGTCACCGTGAGCTGCTGGTAGAGGATCGTGGGATGGCTGGGTTTCTCTCTGATACTGTACAGTGTAATCCGCCCGAGGCGACAGCTGTTTCAGAACAGTGCTGTAAAAGTATTACCTGGGTTTTTGCCCACTTGTACACAAATGGACGAATGAGGGGCTTCATGAATTTGTCGAGCTTCTGCAGCATGTCAGGCTGCATGAGGTCGATGGGAGACCTGTCGTCCATATCCAGGCAGTAGGTTATTGCATTATGGCTGCCTGAAAGGGACAAAGATAATCCTGAATGTTCCACTTGGCCCTGACAGACTTCCTGCACATACAGTGGGGCAAAAAAGTATTTAGTCAGCCACCGATTGTGCAAGTTCCCCCACCTAAAATGATGACAGAGGTCAGTAATTTGCACCAGAGGTACACTTCAACTGTGAGAGACAGAATGTGAAAAAAAAAAAACCATGAATCCACATGGTAGGATTTGTAAAGAATTTATTCGTAAATCAGGGTGGAAAATAAGTATTTGGTCAATAACAAAAATACAACTCAATACTTTGTAACATAACCTTTGTTGGCAATAACAGAGGTCAAACGTTTACTATAGGTCTTTACCAGGTTTGCACACACAGTAGCTGGTATTTTGGCCCATTCCTCCATGCAGATCTTCTCGAGAGCAGTGATGTTTTGGGGCTGTCGCCGAGCAACACGGACTTTCAACTCCCCCACAGATTTTCTATGGGGTTGAGGTCTGGAGACTGGCTAGGCCACTCCAGGACTTTCAAATGCTTCTTACGGAGCCACTCCTTTGTTGCCCGGGCGGTGTGTTTTGGATCATTGTCATGTTGGAAGACCCAGCCTCGTTTCATCTTCAAAGTTCTCACTGATGGAAGGAGGTTTTGGCTCAAAATCTCACGATACATGGCCCCATTCATTCTGTCCTTAACACGGATCAGTCGTCCTGTCCCCTTGGCAGAAAAACAGCCCCATAGCATGATGTTTCCACCCCCATGCTTCACAGTAGGTATGGTGTTCTTGGGATGCAACTCAGTATTCTTCTTCCTCCAAACACGACGAGTTGAGTTTATACCAAAAAGTTCTACTTTGGTTTCATCTGACCACATGACATTCTCCCAATCCTCTGCTGTATCATCCATGTGCTCTCTGGCAAACTTCAGACGGGCCTGGACATGCACTGGCTTCAGCAGCGGAACACGTCTGGCACTGCGGGATTTGATTCCCTGCCGTTGTAGTGTGTTACTGATGGTGACCTTTGTTACTTTGGTCCCAGCTCTCTGCAGGTCATTCACCAGGTCCCCCCGTGTGGTTCTGGGATCTTTGCTCACCGTTCTCATGATCATTTTGACCCCACGGGATGAGATCTTGCGTGGAGCCCCAGATCGAGGGAGATTATCAGTGGTCTTGTATGTCTTCCATTTTCTGATGATTGCTCCCACAGTTGATTTTTTCACACCAAGCTGCTTGCCTATTGTAGATTCACTCTTCCCAGTCTGGTGCAGGTCTACAATACTTTTCCTGGTGTCCTTCGAAAGCTCTTTGGTCTTGGCCATGGCGGAGTTTGGAGTCTGACTGTTTGAGGCTGTGGACAGGTGTCTTTTATACAGATGATGAGTTCAAACAGGTGCCATTCATACAGGTAACGAGTGGGGGACAGAAAAGCTTCTTACAGAAGACGTTACAGGTCTGTGAGAGCCAGAGATTTTCCTTGTTTGAGGTGACCAAATACTTATTTTCCACCCTAATTTACGAATAAATTCTTTACAAATCCTACCATGTGAATTCATGGATTTTTTTTTCACATTCTGTCTCTCATAGTTGAAGTGTACCTCTGGTGCAAATTACTGACCTCTGTCATCATTTTAAGTGTGGGAACTTGCACAATCGGTGGCTGACTAAATACTTTTTTGCCCCACTGTATGAAGCTGTGGATCTGGAGCTTCTCCAACCCCCAAACTGAGCCCAAAACCTTTAAAGTCACACAATAAATACTGTTTTTGGCATGTGTGTGTGTAAAAAGGTGCTTCATCAATGTCTTCACTTATTAATCAACCATTTTTAGCAGCTTAAACGACCGAGTCAGCACATGTATGATCCTTGTTAAAGCCGCTGTTCCTGTTTCTCTGACAGATATTTCAAATGTTCAATAAAACCAGGAAAATGTAACTGAGAAAATGAATTTTCATTTTACTGCTCGTGACAAATCCGAGCTCATGTGGAATTTGGCGGAGGTGACGTGCCCTAAAAGTTGGGACGGAGCAACAAAAGCGTGTGAAAGTCAGCGGTGCTAAAGAGAAGATCAAAAGTGAGCTGGCAGCAGGTCGGTCACGTGATCAGGTAGAAAAAGATCATCTCAGAGATGCGGAGCTTCTCAGAGGTTCACAACCTGTTTCAGAATCGCAGTCCTCGCTGTGAACATCTCATCATCTACACAACATGACATCATCAGCACACTCGGAGGATCTGAGTGTGCTCTCTGTGCACAGGCTGATGACTGTAACCTTCAGCAGAAACACTGCTCTGTGATAAATCTGTGCACGGCTCAGGAACACTTCCAGAAACCAGTGTCTTCAAGCAGCTCGGCATGCCGTCCACACATGCAGCTACAGCTCCGTCACTCCGACACGAAGCCATGTGTGACCATGATGGAGAAACGGCACTGCCTCCTCTTTAAAATGGACCAAGACAAAGAGGAAACTGATCTCATGTCGTGTCTTAATCTTGAAAAGATCCACTGCTCCACCCAGAACCAAAAGGGTACATTTGATTAAATCTGGGGTCTTTTTCTGACAAACCTCTCTAACCTTCAATTTAAGGATGTTCCTGCTGACTAACTGATTTGCTTATTCCATAGAGGTCCAATGTGTGTCCGTGTTAATGGGAATGTGAAGCTCAGTGGTGTTGCAACTAACTTCTGCGTGGTTTGTAAGAAAAGGGTTTGTTAGTATCAATCGCCCCTCCTGGGTTGTCTTTTTCTGTTTATGTTTGTTTGTTTGTTTGTTTTCTTTACCTATGTGCTAACATAAAACGTTCTGTTTTGTATTCAATGTAACCTGTTTTTGTGTTTCCCTTTTCTTTTCTTTTTTTTTCGTAAACTGTATCCACAGTCACTCACTGATTCAAAACAGTTTTTTCTGTTCTACAGTGAAGAAAATGCGCCTTTCTTTATGTTTTACTCAGCGTCTGACTTTGTTGGAGCTTTTCTGGGTTTGTACTTGTGGGTCAAGAAATAAAGCCACTCACTAAGACGACAATAAGACGTGCTGCATAACAAACAGAAATGCAAACACACAAATCTGCATTTGGCTTTTCTTGGTCTCCTTGCAGCACATTTCCTTTATCACTCCAATCTTTCCTTTCTTACTGAGTCTGCTGTTTGATCTCAGATTTCTGTCATTGGTTATTTTAATTACCACTTTCCTGAGATAAGATAAGAGACACATAATAAAATTGCAGTTCAATAGGAAACAGTTCAATCAGGCAGAAAACATGAAGAGGCTGATAAATGAATGAACAGGTGAATCTCTGACTGTGAGAGCAGCAGGTGAACTGTGTGTGTGTGTGAAATGTGGACACAATGCGTTCATCACGTCCTCACAGTCAGAGAATCATCAATAAACCAGAGACAATAAGACAGAACAAACTGATTCAGGTCCCATCACACCATCAGCACCATCTGCCCCCAACATCAGGCCTACCTGGGATGGCCAGGTGGAACAGCGGGACATCCCACAGCGCACATGGCAGGCGAGACATCCAACTCTCCATGGGCAGCTCCATCAGGCTGGGCTCACTCAGCCCGGACATCACTGCTGCTGACACACACACACACACACACACACACACACACACACACACACACACACACACACACACACACACACACACACA